GCTTTATTTAGAGAGAGAATAGAAATGTACAATAAATCCAAAATACAAACTTCAGTTAGGTTTCTTTTTGTCGTATCCACATTCCACCATAGTCCTCCTCTCATCTCCCCGCCCCGAATAATGACGCGTGGCTAAATTATTCATGATACTTAGGACTAGACTACAGCCATGAATTGAGTAAAGTACTACACGGTCTTGACGATAAGTCTATATTATGTATGGATAACCATAAAATGTTGGTACTTTTAGGTAGAAGTCATATAAATCTCCACGAACAAACATTGTTTTGGATCAGTTTAGGAAGCTAACGGTTTATGCCTAGGTGTTTCGCTGGACTCATACAGCGTAAAATCGCTTTTAATTTGTTAAATTCGTAGTCTCTTTTGCAGATAGTCCTAAGGACGTCACGCAACACTCGTCACCATACCACGTCGCAGTCGTTATCAGGAAGGTCACACAATGTTCCTCCCACTAATTTAGAAGTATCAAATTTTGCGTGACAACCCTACTAATGACTGAGAATGAGACTATTGTTTCTATTAAAGCGATATCGATATCTGAGTGAAATTTTCTTTTGCATCTGTCTCTATACACCAAAAGAATGCTTACCGCTAAACATGTTGGTGCACCATAAAATCAAAATGAGTGATGTCGTGGTCCGGGGGACAGTAAGACAAAGAACAGTAAGACAAAGAACAGTAAGGATTAATCTCTCGGAAAGTGTTCAATGATTGATCAAAAGCTTTCCTTCCAATGTGAAGGATTTGATTGAGTTCACAATGACTTTTCACGTAACAAAATCACACGATGAAGCACTTGTGCTTGTATTCAACAGTGACTGTAGATGTAGATGTACACTTAGGGATCATTTAGATACAGCTGCAGATGAAGGCGCGTTGCAGATAAATATGTAGATGTCGATATCGATGAAGATGAAGATGAAGGTGAAATGAAGATGCAGACACAGATGAGGATGTAGATGTAGATGTAGATGTAGATGTGGATGAACATGTAAATCAAATGCAGATGTAGATGTAAGTGCAGTTGCAGATGAACATGCAGAGGAAGATGCAGATGCAAATGTAGATGCAGATGTAGATGAGGATGTAGATGTAGATGCAGTTGTTGATGAACATGTAGATGCAGATGCGGTGAACATGTAGATGTACATGTAGATAAAGATGTGCACGTACTTGCACATGTCGATGTAGACGGAGATGGCGATGTAGATGTAGATGGACATGGAGATTTAGGAGGTCCAGAAAAAGAATGTGGAATGAAGCTTTTCAGTTGATCATAGACGAGGAATCCCTCATCACACAACCCAGCAAATAACTACACATAGTGATAGTTGGTTCAGTTATTAGATTCCATTCATATCTGTCACG